TTGGGAAGTGGGGCGGTGAATTGGGGGGCGGGAAAATTGGGGGGGGGGGGGGGGGAGCCAATACATCGTGTGTGGGCCCTTTGGTGGTGTTGGTGCGATGGATTCTGCGTCGTAGTTATAGGCTGACGGAGGGCGCGCGCCTACGAAATGACCGTCTTTTTTGGGTCCGGGGAACGCAAACGGGTTTTGGGTCTGGTCTGGTTGCGGCGTGATTTCGTGCAAAGTCCTCACATCGCAGCCCTTCTTTTGTTCTTAATTTGATTTGTTTTATACTATTATTTATTTTATTTATTTTATTTATTTTCTTCCGTTATGTTTCCTCTTCTTCTTTTTCGTTATTTTTTTTCGAAGGGACATGGCGCCCACGGCGGTGTTCGTGCGGAGGGCGGAAGCCGATTCCGCTTCGGCTGCGTCGCCCTCCGCGGGCGAGACTGGCAGCGCGGAGAACCAGGTGTGTGAACCCGGGCGGAAGGTTGGGGTGTTTGTGGGTTTTTCAAAAGGGGAAGATGTGGGGTTGTTTAGTGGCTATGGATTTTGCCCCGGCGTCTGGATGTAGAGGAGTCGACGGTAACAGCGTTGGCTGGGAATCCTGGCGTCTCGTTGTAGGAGTCGAGCGTAAGGGCCTTGGCTGGGAATACTCTCGGGTAGGGGGGTACCAAGAGATCGACTTGACTCTAGTCACGTGTTCCAACGTGCGAAGACCCCGTTGAGGTCGCCCCGCGTGGTTGGTGCAGAGATTACATCCTGACAAGGCGGTGGCCAAGCAAATGAGGATTGTTTTCGGGGTGCGTCTGTTCGTTTTTGCCCCGCCCTGGCTGTTGTTGAATGTTGACGGGGTTGACGGATTCAACTCCTTCTTTTTTTCAACATCTTCTTGTTACGATTAGGCGGCGTTGTTTTTCGGAAGGAGGGGCACGCCATATCAACACTCGGGTATTGGAAGATTACTTTACGCTTTATAGATAACGATTGCGACAAGACGATCGTGTCGCTAATTGATGGTACGTGATGTGCATGATGGAATTGTTCTGCAGGCGTCCAGGCGAGTCATGGCCATCGGGAGGCGGGAACAGGGCAAGCGGCAGAGGTGGGACGGCGTGGAGTGCGGCGCGATCCTGCTATCTCCGGAGATCTTCGACACCCTCTCGGACCTCGGGAAGCGGAGGAAGTACTTCACGCTTGCGGACGGACTTGACTTCATGGCAGGCAAGACGTGTGCGGCGTGGTGACTGCGAGGCCTGTGTGTGTATGTCGACTTTTCTTTTTTTGCAGTCATGTAGTGATATGGTTGCGGGTATATGAGCTGTTGACCTTGTCGTGTTGTTGCTACCGCTGTTTTTGCTCCTGCTACCGCTGTTTTTGGTAGTTGTGGTATTGATAGCAGTCGGAGAATGTAGAGCGTTTCCAGTTTAGTGTTGTAGCACGAAAGTATATGTCTACTTCTGTTGCGTTCTGTAAGGGGGAGATCTGCGGTCCGTGGTTGGTCGCGTACAACGTTTCTGATGCCGATTTGGTTTTGATGCGAGTGGCAACAGGCCTCATTTTTTATCTCGACACTGCACCGGTTCTCGCTCTTACGACGACTGATCATTTTATGACCGGGAAAGTTCGTGCTCGCCTCCGCTTTGTTCCGAAGAATCTGTTGCGTCTTCCGTTCCCGACCCCGACCCCCCCCCCCTCTCTCTCGCTCGTGTGTTGCTCGTTCCGCATCACTTTTCCTACTCTGTCGTACACCAATCAACAGGCGGGGGCATGCTGAGAAGCATTTCCACCGCTGGAAAGCCCTGGCTCGCTCTCGAGACCAAGGTAGGGCGGAGGGTTTGAACGGACAGGAGCACACCAAAATTGTAACGGCGCCCTTGCCTTCGAACCGCAACAAGCAGTTTCATGTTGTACCGCATCGCCGAGAAGTGCCTCTCTCTTCCGCCATGTCTTATTCTTGTTTTGTTTGTCCCGCCCCACCTTTTTTTGTGTTGACGATGCGATTCTTGTTTTTTTTTTTCCTGGTCAGGCGCAACTCCGCCGGGGAAATGAGTCCCTTGTGCAGGGACTGGTCAACCAGGCCGAGCCGTTCCCGTGGGAGTCTAAACCCGCCGTGAGTACAAACTTCTTTCGATTCTCCCTCTAACGCTGTTACTGCTGTGTTTGTGTTGTTGTTGTCGTCGTTGCGGTTGTCGTCGCTGCTGCTGTTGCTTTTTCTGCTGTTGTCCCTTGCATAATATCAACGTGGCTGTAGATTCGACAACACCCATGAGGTGCGGCTCTCTCACTGCCTGCCCCCCTGCCATGCTCGCGCCGCTTTCCCGGTAGACGCTTTTCAGCACCAAACTCTTTCAAGCCGATGGCGGCCCGTATGGCAACCTCAAATGTATCCATCACGTTCGTGTGGACCATTGAGATGCTATTGCCACAGAATGTTTGGTAAACGGTCGTTGTATGCAACCGCGGAAATGTGGCCCGTCGCTCAGGGATACAGACGACTGACTTCGGGTGACATAGATGGAACACTCAGTTTGTCTCACACGCTGAATCGCGCCGGGTGCGCAATATGAGCCCGGCCTAATCCCTTGGCACAGGGCCAGCCTAGAAATAGAAAGGGACCTCTACTGCTGTCTTATCTTGTCATTCCGCTGCTGCTGCTGCTGGGTACCGCAGGCCCGGGATGGAAACTCTACCGCTGCTGCTGCCGCCGCCGCCGCTGCTGCTGCCATTGCGGCCGCCGTTACGTCGACACCCGAGGATTCCGCCGCCGCCGCCGCCGCTGCTGCTGCTGCGGGGCACGGCAGGCACCTGTCGCTCCACCTCGACGCAAACGCTCAGCGCTCCGACAGTGCAGCTGGCGCCGACCCCGATGCTGACACAGAGGAAGACGATAGGTGAATGCTACCACCTTTATTAGCCCCGGGGTTTTGACGAGGTTCGAAGGATCTGAATACGTTATCGAGCTTTGATTGGTCGAAGACAAAGAATATATTGCGCCTTGTTCCAGGTTTCCAGCGGAGGGCATTTTTTTTTTTCTGAATTTTGAAACTGAAGTCTATGTAGAACTTTTTTTTCGTAAGTGTGACAAAACTGCTGTATACAGGCTTGTTATTTTTTCTTTATTGTTTGTTGAGGTTCGCTGGGCTCTTCGAATCAAGAAAACTTCGGCTGTGTGAGCTGCTAGAGCTTGGGAAACGGCACCTCTGGCAGCTGGCAGCTGATTCATGCCAACACAAGCTATATCTTGATCGTGCGTCACGCCTTTGATACACCACTACCACCATCTGACGAACCCACTCAGGAGTCCCGTCTTGCAACAAGCGACAATCACGTTTTCTCCCGCCCCCTGCTTTACTTTTTCCTGCAGCACGGCTCCAGACTTCAAGGGGTTCGTTGTTCCCGTTGGAGCAGCCGCCCCGGAGGCGGTGGGAGTTCCGGCCGCGGACGATTCGGCGTTCTTGACCAGGGGCCACGCCTTGAGGAGGCGTGTCTCTCTGGAGGGCGTCACGGTTCAGAACCTTGAGGGGCCGGTGAGGGAGGGCTGTGTGTGGGTGGCAGGTTGATCGATCTTGTCTTGTCTACCAAAGCAGCACGCCGTAGCAGCTTGATCGGTCGCCTCTTGTCTACCAAAGCGGCACCGTTGCCGCGACGTAAGGCCGACCATGATGAATGAGATTGTTCGTGTGTGGTGCTAAATTTGGCCGCGTTTTCTACCAGAGTAGCACGCAGTTGCCATAACTGTAAAGGGCGGATTGTGAACTGAATTTTTACTAGCGTGGGGTCGCGGCAGATGCTAAGTATTACGAGGTTGGCATCCCCTCACGGTTGGGGTTTCACGCCGGCGGCTACGGCAACTGGGGTCGATCGTGTTCATGGCTTTGGTCATCAGCCGTCACCCCGCCTTGTTGGATCCCTCACCCCATCTCACCCTTTATCTTTGTTTTGACGGAGCAGGACCTTGAGGCAGGGGAAGCGGGTGCCGGTACGGTTTCTTTACCGTGGGCAGGAGATGCCGCCGGCGACATAGGCTTCATCGTATCCGTCCCGGGAGAGGTGCGGTATAACCGTTAAACGGTAGTGCGCGGGTTTTTTCCAACAACGACATCCAAATGATGGGGTGCGGCGAACTGTCGTGCTTCTTTTTTCCAATAGCGACATCGATATGATGGGGTGCGGTAGACGCTGTGGCGATTTGGCCTTCGCGGTAGTGAAATTATGGGGTGGAGGGAACGGTAGGTTGGTGTGTCGGCGCTTTCTTTTGGGGTATTTTTTGACGGCGGCTCGACACTTTTTTATTTTCCCCGGCTCGCCACGAAAATTCGAAGAATTCCACCAAGCGATTTTTGCCCTCAGGTGATGAAACCAACATCAACCCAACATGATGTTTACCCTCGGTTATTGATCTAACGAACAACGCAACTGTTCCCTCTTTGGGTCAAACCAATAACAATGCCAACTTTCTGGAAAACGTGTTGTGTCTGCGACGCACAGGGCGGAGTAGAAGAGCTCGTGTTCGCCGTTCCCGAAGGAACCACCAAGAGCGCGTCGGCCTACACGGGTTCCGGCGGAGGAATTTTCGGGGACTGCTGCGGGGGCGGTGGCGGCGGCGGCGGCGGCGGGGAGTACGCGGACAGCGTCGACGACGACGGTGGGGGCATGCTCGGGGACTCTGACGATGAAGAGGACTACAACTGTCTGCACGGGGGGATTCTGTCCGGATGCTTGCCTGAGGCGAGTCGCACGTGCTGTAGGTGCTGCTGGTTGCGCGGCCGCACAGGGGGGCAATGGGCCTTGTTTTCTGTTCTCCTTTGTTTTATCATCTTTTGGCAACACGAAGCACTGGGACCATATTTGTTTAGACTACTGAATGCACACACTATGGTTGGGTCACACAACAGAGCCGAAATTCGATGTGCATCCTTCACTTGGTGTTCAACCCACCGTTGTTTTGTTTTTTCGTGTATTTCGTTGTGGTGCTTGGCTTCCCGGAACGGTGGGAAGCTTGTCCTTTCGCGTTTTCTCGGCCTCCCCGATAACGCCGCACTTCTTGCTAGTTCAAAGTTTGGTGCCGGTAAAGTGAAAACCTTTCCTTAGTTTTTCGGTTTTGTGTTTTTTTTGTCTGTGTTTCGCTACTCTCTCTGCCCCTCCTGAGCCCGTACACGCCCGCCGAATACTTCTCCGTACCCTCCACCCAACCCGTCTTCTTGTTCTCCCTAACGAGCCCACACTCCCGCCGAGAACGCCACCCTACCCGTGTTGTTCCCTTATTGATTATTCCATTGCTGTTGTGCCCCCCCCCCATCCAATCAATCAGCTTCCGACGGAGATGCCCAGCGACATCCGGTCGGTGAGAGTGACGACCGAAGTTGTTGCCGAAAAGGAGGGGGAGGAGCCTACCCTTGCGGTGCACGTCATCGTGGACCGCAGCGTGCCCGTGCTGGGGTGGGTGCTCATGGTCTCGGCGCTGTTCGGCCTCGCGGCGATGGTAAGTGAATCCAGTAAATGAGTCGATGAGTGAGATATAGACTGTGACTAACTAAGGTGAGTGAATGATTGCAACAACGATACGGATGTGAGGGAGTGAGTGAGCGAGTGGATGAAAAGTTGATAGACGTACATCCTAGTGAGGGAGGTATCTTGTGATTGGTGGACTGACAATGTTAGAATTAGTCAGCGTGAGTGAATGAGCGTTAGATTCTGTATGCGAGAATGAACGAAGTGAGTGCGCGAAGTAGTGGATGAATAGTGAATATGTGAGGTGAGCGAGGTTTCGTGTGATTGGTTGAGTGAGGGATGTGGGAATGAATGAATGTGAGTGATTGGTTGAGTGAGGACCAGTCATGAGGAGTGATGGGCGACTGGGGTCCTGCTGATATCAGCATGGCGTCTAGGTATTAGGAAACAAAAATACAAACGCAGAAAGACTACGCGCTCGAGATATAACAGAGCTCACAGAACGGTATATAGGGGAAAGGGTATATGGAGGAAGAAATCGAGAAGGGGGATGAGAGATGCGCGAAGTTTAACGTGCGACATGAGAGGGAAACGGAGGTGAGGTTTGTAGCAGTTGTGTTTGCGCCCGCAAGCTTGTTTATTCCCAATTTATTCACTCCCTCACGTCCTCTATGTGGGCAATATCCGCCGATCCCTCCTCCCTGTTTCCACTCGTTTGCGTCACTTTGTTATCCCTCCTCCCACTTTTTTTTGTTTTTTTGTTGTGTGTCGACCGTGTAGGCTCCTTTGGGAGACCTGCTGAGCAAGATGTCCCCCGACGCCCTTCCCGCCATCTACCCGGTGTGGCGTTACTGTTGCTCCACGATCATCTACTCCCCGTGGTTCCTTCTCATGGTCGCCGGCAGCAAGTGAGGAAAGGGGCGGGGGAGTGTCCGCCGGAACGCGTGTCTGTTGCTGTTGTTGGTGGTGCCGGTGGTTGTTGGTGCAGCTGTTGTTTTTTTGCAACTGCTGTCGTGGGCCAGGCCGAGCCACCCACCCTTGCAGCGTTTCATGTTCTGCTGGAGTAGCATGAGTGCTCGGGGTACCGCAGGAGGCGTGTGTGTGGGAGGTGGGGGGGCGGGGGTTACTCGTTTCTCGGCTGCGACTCCCGTGCCCCCCACCCACCACGTCTCTTGTTTCGGCGCACAACAAACGTCCGCCAAAGCTCTTCCCCGTTTAAACTCCACCATGGATTGCGTTTACGCCATCGTCGAATCCTTTCCTGTACGTTCAGGTCGATCCTAACGCCAGCGATTTTTCGTATGTGTCGTCGTTCGTTCCTCTCCGTTCCACGTGGCTGCTGTTGTGGTAAAGGTCTGCGAGGGCTGAGCTGCGGGATTGGTCGTTGGTGTTGCCGGTCGTTCTGGCCGGAACCGGGCTGGCGGGCTGGGGGCTTTGCTTCTACTCAGCTCTGAACGTGAGCGTCCGGACTCTTGTTGTTGTGTTGTTGGTGCTATCTGCTGCTGCTGCTACCCCCTGCTGCTACTGCTGTTGCTGTTACTGGTGCTGATTGTTGGTGCTGCTGTCCGCTGCTCGCTGCTGCTGCTGCTTGTTGCTAATGCTGATGCTGTCACTGCTGTTGTCGTTTTGCCTATTTTGTCGTGAACTCGTGTCGCACCTTCACACATCCGGGTTGGACTGGATCACTACTGTACTGTTGTCCGCCGCTTCCCATGGAAACCAAACCAAGCGTCGATTTTGCTTCCACCCATGCCCCGTTGTCAGCTGTTTGTCCCCCCATCTCCCCCTCCCCAGATATTTAATTCTTGTCACCGCCCTCCCCGTGTCACCCCACCCTTCCCCGACCCCTACCGCTTTCCCGAACCCCCCACACACTCCTCCCCCGGTGTCATGTTATTCCGCTGTGATTGTTTTTGTAGTTCGCCTCCGCGAGCATGGTGGCTCTCCTGGCCTCCCTTACGCCCATGTGCCTGGTGGTCTGGAGGGGAGTCACGGGCGAGTCCGTACACATCCTGGAGATCGTGGGCGTCCTTCTCGCCATGGTCGGGGGCGTCGTGTCGACCGTGGGGGAGACGGGCGGAGACGACGGCGTCGACGTAGGCGAGAACGAGCCAAGAAGCAATATGTTTTGTCAGTTGACCAAAAATGGCAGAAGGAAGCAATCTCCAAGGGAAAAAAAAAAAAAATGCAGTGCTTTTGTGATTGGCCCCGGCTGGCGTTACTGATACAAGTTCAGTGGATGGGCTTGAACAGACTAAATGAGGCCAGTAAGTCAGCCGGTTTTCTGCCCATTCAATGCAAAGACTCCGACACATGCCCTTGGACTGACTGGTATTTTGTCGAAAGGGTGGTCACTCGTTGTATGCATATATATATTTTTTTGGAGAAGCGAGTCTGTCAGCAGTCCCGGCCCTTCCCCTTGCGGGAGAGCAGGGGAGCCATGCAGGAAGTTTCGTGAGAGAGAGTCGTTGGTGAAAGCATGAACCAGCGGCCACAAGAGAGCTCGTGGTGTGCTACTTGTCGTTTGCTTCACTGCTTGACTACGTTTGGAGGGAGAGTCTCACGTAGTGATGAATAGCATGGCGTGGAAGAGTGAAATAGAGAGCCGCGTCAAAGCCATGTGACGTCTATCTTTCGCCCCCCCGACGACAAAAATCCCACTTCCGGAGGAAGTCTAAAGAGGCACAAGCTGTCAAACTGTCAAACGAGAGGGCAGATGTCGAGTCATGCCACGTCTATCTCGGCTTAATGAACTGTAGCCTCGGCCGGCGAAAACCCAGGACATCGCTCCAGCCCGGCAGTGTGGGCATGCGAGGTCAACGGTCTAACGGCTACGGCATGCGTTGACTTGAGGACACCCCTCCTATGTGTTTGCCGAAACCCCCGCAAGGCGGTTGTCTAACACACCATCGTGTGCGTGTGCTGGTTCTTTTCCCCGTGCGCTCCCCCAGATGCGTCCGATGCGGTAGCGGGAACGAGCGTCGTCGTTGTGGCGGCGGATACTGAGTCAAGCGGTGGCCAGGCCCTTGGCATTTTGCTCGGCCTGGGGTCGGCGTGCTTCGGCGGCATGTACATCCTCAACGCTAAGTCGGCGAGGAACAAGTGAGGAACCGACGGGGCAATCAATCTCGTCTGTGGTTGTTGTTGTTGTTGTTGTTGTTGTTGTTGTTGTTGTTGTTGTTGTTGTTGTTGTTGTTGTTGTTGTTCGTGTTTTGGGGTTTCTACGGCGGCGTCTGGGGTAAGTACGCGGCGGCTGTCGCTGTCGCTGTCGCTGTCGCTGCTGCTGTTGTATCTTTGCTGTAGCTCAGCAACCAATGCGTCGCTGCTGCTGCTGCTGCTGCTGTTGCTGGATCGTTGCTGTTGTCTCAGCAAATTGTTTCCGACTGCTCTGCTCACCTCCACTTTGTATTTCTCCCTAAAGGGCGTAAGAACTGCCGTGACTCTTCCATGTATAAACAACCGCGGAATCGGGGTCAGGCGTGTGTAGTGAGTTGAGTTGGGAAAGTTGGTGGCAGCGGGTGGTATGGAGTGAAGGGATGTTCGAGGCAATATTTTCACGTATTTGACGAGCTTGCGTCCAAGCTGTTGGCGTTAAATTACCAGTAGAGTGCCATGATCACGTCAATAGTAAGCAACGCCAGTATCAACAAGACGGACATCCACCAACAGCAGCAACAACCACTTAATACGACACCCCCCAACATTCTGCATAACTCACGGCAGGGTGGAGGTGTCCCACTTCGCCTTCATCGCTTCCATCGTGCCGGCCGCCCTGTGCACGGTGGTCCTCCTGGCGGCCTACGGCGGCAGCGCCGAGGGGAGGGTGCTGCTGTTCGGCACGTCGGGGCTGTTGGGGTGGACGCAGACCCCTGGGCTCGTGCTGGTGCAGGTTGTGACGTCTGTCCTGGGTGGTGAGTGCCGCGAGAGGGGGCGAAAACGTGTAGCATGGGCGTGATTGGGAAGGACAGAGCGTGGGGGGCGAGTGCCGCGAGAAGGGGGGAAGGTGGCAAAACTTTATGGTGGGGGCGTGATCGGGGGAGTACAGAGTAGATTGAGTCACTGGCAACCCCTATTTTGATGATCTTGCCTCTGGGAGGGTTGCTCGTGCACCAAGCCAAGTGTACGCTTGCGCAGAGTGGCTTATTGTCGAGAGTACGCGAGTCGATGAGCACACGACGGTACCATGGATTGATCTCGAAACAGCCCTCCTGATGCCCCCACATACCCCACCCCCTTCACTCGAATCCCGCGTGCCTGGTGTCCATTCCTTCAGATATGGTCGGCAACTTCGGTTTCTACCTGCTTCTCAAGTGAGTCAGTCGCACAACGCCCCGGTGCGATCGATCGGCTCCGACGCCGAAACAAAAATTCGTATTTACCACCTGAGCCCTCCGCTACGTAGCGCTTCCCAGAGTATGCACTAAGAATGCTAGCCCGGAGTGCCCCTATCAATGTTCTCGTCCCTTAAGCCCCTCCTTGGCTGAATACCTGATGCGGCAAGAGTGAAGGGATCTGCATCGAAGGAAAGGTGGATTGGATGCCTTTGCGCGTGCGTATGAGTTCGTGTTTTCCGATCTGTTTGTTTGCTGGCATTTTCTGTCGCCGTCTGGGGTAATGTTCTGCATCCAACGGGGGGCCCCCAGGTTACCACGCTTCTGTCTTGGGCTCCGGTTGAATATGCGTAAGGGCGACACGTTGGTGTAGCATCTCTGTGTGTGTGTCTCTCTCTCTCTCTTCGTTCTCCACGGATATTCAAACAGTCACGCAGTATCGCCAACCCCCCCCCCCCCCCCACCCTCTAAACGAACAAAAGGTACATTTCTCCGCTGGTGGTGTCCCTGGCAAGTCTCACGGTGCCCCTCCTAACCGTCGTGGAGGGCCTCATGCTAGGCGTCGTGTCTCCCCCCGGCATCCTCTTCGGTATCGGCGCCTTCCTGATCCTGACCGGGGCGGGCACGGCGTCGATGGTGACGCTGCTGCCCCACACGGAGGTGTTCGACGCGACCGACGCGGTCAAGACGACAAACGAGGGGGTCGGGGACGCCGACAAGAGGTGCGTGTCGGGGTGTGTATGTGTTTTGTGTGGTTTTGTTTTGTCGGCATGGGCCCTTCCTGAACGGTCTCTTCGTGAAACGATAGGGTCTGTGTTTAGTGTGTGTGTTTTTTTAGTAGCTGACCACTGAAAGTACGTTAGTCTCAGTGCGGTTGAAAACAAGAAATGCTTATAATGGCCATGACCTGTTGTGTGGGTGTGTGTGTTTATTTATTATTTAGCATCGACCGCGCTGACCGGCCCTTTGAACACGCGTCAGCGTGATATTTTTAGCGGGAACAAAAACGCGCGCACCCCCTTCAAACCGTGGTCTGGTGAGTTTATGGGGGACAAAATGGTCGGCCCTCTACTGGTTTGTGCGATGGTCGCATCCCTGACCCAGGGACTCCACCCAATCTCAAAGCAATCGTGATCACGAATATCAAATCAATTGTGATCACCAATCATCCTTACGTGCGAGTAGAGGCGGCTGATCCCCCCCCTCCCACGCGCGTCGCCCCTAATGGGTGCCGTTGGTCGCTTGACGCTGTTTCCCCTCATCCGGCACCACGTGCAACACTACGCGCAACGATTGATGGCAACATCAGCCCGGTACCGGGCTCGAGCTTGACCAGCTCCCCCGCATTGGGGTACGGCAGCGTCAACGGCAGGGGTGGCGGAGGGGGCAAAGCCACCTCGCGCGTGCAGTCCAGTAAGGGGGAGTTGCGACCCCTGCTCTCGCTGGAGGCGGAGGACAAGAAGGCGGAGAGCGGCTCGCCGGAGCAGCCCTCGCTGCTGTTCAAGTAGCGCCGCCAGCCTGCAGGGAGCAGCAGTGATGACCCAGTAGAAGCGCACTTGCTGGAAGTAGTTAGCAGCAGCAGCAGCATAACCACCCGCCGCAGTGTGGTAGTAGCGCGCTCGCTGGTAGTATCACAGGAGCCGTTTTGGCAGCAGCAGCATTTGGCAGCCGCATTTCCACCCACCGCAGTACGGTAGTAGCGCCCTCCTCGGCAGTAGTAGGAGCAGCTTCAGTGGCAGCCACGCACGATAGTGTAGTAGGAGCGCTCTCGTTAGTGTTAGTAGGAGCAGCTGTAGCGGCACCAGCGTCATCCACCGTAACATGAACAGCGTGTTCGTTGGTCATTCCTCTGGCGGGTTTGCGTGGTCAAGGCAATGGAAAAACGTGTAATGTGTTCCTTTTGTTGCGGGTGCCGCTTGCTTGCGCTTTGTCTTTTCCCTCCCGGTGCAGCAACCCTCTCGGGTGCCATTAGTCAAGGTTTGCCCTCCCTCCTTGTCTGTCTGTTTCTGCTAACTCGGGCTTTAAGAACGATCGTGGTTCCTAAGGATTCACGCCACACGGCGTTGTTTGTCGTTGAGCTGTGGCCATGTACCATATTTTAACCCTTTGGTGATGGCGAGTCGTTTTCGAGTTCGATGTGTCGTCCCCTCTCGTGTCGGTCTCATCTACCACTCTTCCGGCGGTGCTTTGGTCGTGCCGCACGGCAGTTATTGTGAAAATCATTCTGAGATTCCGTAGCAAATAGTCTTCGGTTTGCTGTTAACCTTGATGATTTCGTAGTGTCCGGTCTCTGGCCTGAACGGTAGCCAGAGCATTTTTCTAGTAGCTCTGGGGGGTGCGCTGTGGGTCTTGCCGGCAGTTATTGTGAAAGTCATGCGGGGATTTCCGCAAGTAGTGTTCGGTTTCCTTTCATTGTTGATGGTTTCGTAGTGACTTGTCTCAGGGGCGGGACTCGGTAGAATAGCGTTTCAATTATTTGTGTTGTGTTTGTCCGGTTTTGCATCGAAACCATCTACATCCAATTCTCGAGAAACAAGGCGAGAGTGAAGCGACTTTTTTCACGCTATTTCGTCTTGAAGTATCATCACATCACGTCACGTCCTGAAAGCCGAAATTTTTTTGGCCGTCCCTTTTTCTCACCCGACACGCTTAGCTTGCACCGTTTGCCGACTTTTTAGCTGTAGGTGAAATGGAACGCACGCGGTGCGCCAAGATGGGTGCATTTAGGCGCGTGAATGATGGGTTCGGTGTTTTTATGTCCGCGCTGTTCGTGGATGGATGGTCTTGATGCTGTTTGCCGCCGGTAGGATGTAGGAGAGTCCATTGCTGTTGTTGACTTTCTTTTGCAAGAAAACGTTTTTGGTTGGCTTTTTTGGTTTGCCCTTCTTAACGTTGCAGTACCAGCCAACTAGTTTTTTATTCTTCTTTTTTCCTCCGCAAAACCAGCCCGTAAGTATCATCTGAGGGTAGGATTGGATTGTATGAGGTCGCGGGTTGCCAAGTCTTATGGCGAAAAGTTGGTGCTCACGATCAAAATGAGTTGCCGACGTTTTTGCTTGGATATTTACATTACGAGTCTGGAGTTCAATCGACGTTCGGCTCTGTACTTGTATGCTTTTATTATCACGTATTTGTTTGTTCTCGTTGCCTGTGCTCAAACGCACAACAACAATGGATGAAACGAAAATGGGGTCTACATATGTGTAGTGCATACCGTCGTGGTTTCGCTCTGTTTAGTGTGCCGTCTTTCTTCGGTCGAGGTACGGAACGCAGCTTTCTCGCGCAGGCAGCAGTACGTTAAGAGTATTGCCCCCCACCGGCGTAGTCTTTATTGGCCCTTTTTGGTGAAGAACAGCTTTCTGGTCTCAAAAGAATATTGAGATTTGTGTGTCTCTATTCATTTCATTTCACGCGCGGTGTGCGCAGGCATGTGGAGTGGTTTTGAAGAGTGCGTTCAACTCAGTGCCGTGGTTTATTCGTGTGTGTCTTGTTTTGTCTGTCGTGATGTATTGCGAGGGGGGGGGAGCGAGGGTTGTGGGTAGGGTGAGCGGAGGACTGAACCAATCACCCTATATACACGCGTGCGGGGACTTTATGCTGTTGGCGTTTTGTCTTTCAGGCGTCGGTAGGAGCACGCTCCATGTCTGCATGTTGTCGTTTTTGAGTACGTTTATTAACCTTGACATCTTTTGAGGTCCAACCGATCAAATTTCCGGAGGGTTTCTCCGTTTTGGCAAAAGCGCCATCACGTCTTTGTGTGTGGTTTCGGGACAGTGTAGCCACATCTGGGGGTGACGTCCATGGCATGTCGTCCTCTTACAGAGTATTCCTGCGGCGATGAACGCGCCCTTGTTGCGGGCGTGATGTTGGGGGTTCGATGGGATTGCACCGCTCTTCGGAAAATAGGATAGGACCATGTTGTAGGTCAGACATAGTGTTGTATGGTCAGAAATAGTGAAATGTGTGGGCGTCGCGTTGTTGCTGGTGGGAGACGTAGCGAGGAACCGTTGTTGTGATTACAACCCCAAACATCCACACCCGCGATGGAACTATCACCAAGCGCCGCTGCGATGTTTGGAGTCGGCCAGCCGTGTACTACATGTATGGAGAATATATGTTGCATTCGGTTGCTGCCGTTTCATAAAAAAAAACGTTGATCAGGTATCCTTGCCGCTCCCGCTCCGACCCGAACGTCTTGAAGAGATCGAAGAAAGGATGCATCATATGCTGAGCATATTGCATGCATGATCATCAGGTGCATACGAATCCAAATCATCACTCGCCGTGTGCATCACCGTCAACTAGGAGAGGCCCACACTCAGGCCCAATCTCAACCAGTAGATGTCATGCAATTGTTCTTCTTGCCGACCACGACCGGACACCGGTATTGTACACGCAGACCCAGACGACGTTGTACAAGAAACGGAAGCCCCCCGGAAAAGAAATAGCGGCACAAAAAAAGCGACGCACCACCCGAAAGCACCACCCCACGAAACGAAAGGAAACAAAGAGAAGATGAAAGGAAGTGTCACGACCGAGAAGTGATCGAAAGCGACGAACAAATGAAAATAACGTATTGTCGAAGAAGGAACTCCCCCGTAAGAAATCACGGTGACGACGGCAAGGTGGAGCAGGAAGTGGTGTCCCAGACACAAGAAGAAGGAAAGCTGTAGAACCGCAAAGAGCCCTTTTGGACATGGAATCCATAGTGAAAGCGCAGACGAAGGCGGGTGTGATATTTTCGAAACTAAACGAATTGAAAACATGACAAAAAGCATTTAGAGCCTGGCGATGTGCTTGGAGTGGCGACTGTTCTACTCGTGCAGATTCCGCTTGCGTCGATCGATCCTACACAGCGGACGGCTACGGCCGTTGAGTTGGGTGGCCCTACGTCACCAGCCCTGCGAGGCTGGGCCGCCGTCCGGCGTGAATTCTTTGCATTCCAATATCCTGGTTGCGGTTCCGGAGATCTCGGACTCTCTCGCGGCCTCATGCCGCCGAAACTGCCGCCGCCAGAATTGTTGAAACGGCTTTCGGATGCACAGCGAGTCAGTTCTCGCGATTTGTGAAAACCCTTGTCTGTACATTTGGGCGACGATCCTTTTGATTTACATGACTCGGGTTGGACCCCGGAAGCCAACAACAGCTTGGCGGATGTGCTGTGTGGCTTTCCGGGTGTGTTTTCGTTCGCGGTCACCGTCCGACTTCGGTTTTCGTTCCGTGAAGAAACCATTTCGTCTGGAAGTCCCCCCCCCCCGGCATGAAACCGCTGGCCTCGCGTCCCTATAGGTATTAACCCTCTGATGGAGAGAGAGGTCGACGCCATTCTTGATCAATACCTTGCTGCCGGTCTTATTTAGCACTCGTAATCGCCGTGGGCGAGTCCTTTGGTTGTCATGCCAAAAAAGGACGGCAATCTGCGTTTGACGGTGAACTACATACGAAAAGCTAACAAACTGTGAAGCCTTGGCCAAGAACTGTAGCCGCGTGTTGACCACGTAAAATAATATATTCACTGCACAAGGGCAGATGTTTTCCATTTTCGATCTGACCTCCGCTTTCCACCAGATCGAGGTAGAAGAGGACACGGTCCAGCTTACGGCGTATTGAACGCCCACGCAACTTTTTAATTGGATCAGGATGCCTCAGAGGAGCTCCGTTGAACCGTCGTGGTTCACACGATCATCAACGAGGTGGTTACAGGCCTGGACCAAGTGCTTGCGAACTTAGACGATGTGATTGTGTTTGACGCTGACATGTCGCCAATATACGGTCATTTTTGGAGCGTCTGCTGCGCAAGTACAACCTCAAGCTTTCTCCTTTCAAGCGCCGCGTCGGCGCTAAGGAGGCCGATTTTTTAGGCCACACCATCTCCCCTGCGGGCGTTAGCCTTCGTGCCGATAAGATCGAAGCTCTCACGAAAATGCCGCTGCCAACCAACGTAAAGCAACTGCATTCTTTGCTGGGTGGGCTTTCGTACTAGAACAAATCCATCAAGGTTTTGGCCGTACGCGTTGAACCGCTCACCGATTTTTTTTACGTAACGACGCCAAGTTTCGTTTTACGCCAGACATGGCGAATACCGTCCGAGAACTTTTGATGAAACCGTTTGAGCCTCCGGTTCGGCTTTTCCGGATTTTGGACGCTGTCGCGGATGGCAGCCGTCCTCACCGGCTTTGCTGTGACGCCTGTGTAGATGGTTTTGATGCGGCACTCTAAGAAGAACAGGCTGATGGTTCCATCCGTCCCATTCTGTTCGTGAGCCGCGCTGCGCTCGAAGCCGAGCGCAATTGGACTGTGCTAGACTTAGGAGCCCGGAAGCTCGTGTGGGCAATAAAACTCATGTGGGGCTACACACTTTCTGATTTATTCGGATCACAAGGCCTTGGAGAGCATCGTCAAGGTGGGCGAACACAACGCCCGCGTACAACGTTGGCTCGAGTTCCTTTCCTCGTTCAATTACACCCGTGTCTACCGGAAAGGCACTGCCAAAGCCAACGCAGATTTTCTTTCGCGGTTGTCTTGTTGCCGGCGACCGATGCCAACAGACACGGTGACACCAGATTGTCGCAGTCGATTACGCCGCGGGCGTTTATTCTAGTTCGACGCCGAGCATCGGCTTGTGCGCGGCTGCCCCTTGCTAGCGACGGGACGCGTTGCCACACACACCTTTGGCGGAGGCTGACTTTGGGGACTTCCGCCGTTTCGGGCCGCAAAAGTGGTCATGCCGGCCCCGGAGCCCCCTCCCCTTCTGTACGCGTTGGTCGTTCCGCCCTCTGGTGTTTTCGCTGTCGTCAGCGATGCAGTCCCCATGAGTTCTGTGCCCAATGGATCTCCTCCGGCTTCCGTTCCTGCGGTGCCAGACGTCGCTCCCTCGTCCACCGTCAGGACCTCAGCAACTGCCCTTTCGCTTGCGCGCGCTCCTCTGCTTTCTTCTCGTACTCGGGCGAAAACGAACTCGACCTCTGGCATGGCTCAAAGCCGTCCCAATAATTTTCCGAAATAACCACGGGCCGTTGTTGTGCCCAGAAAGCCGCGGCCTCCTCGGACGCCGGCCCGCTCGAGCGGTGCTGCGCGGTCGACGCGAGCCGCGGGCCGCTCTACTTCTGACTCATCGCCTTCAGCGGCGTCGGTCGAGTCGACGCTCCCGCAGCCAGCCACGCGTGCTCCGGCAACGCCGCCGCCCGCGATTGTGTGCACACACTAACGCATGCTGATTGGGCTCGTGAGCAGCGGTCGGAAAGTGAGTGTGTGGCGGCTGAATATTTTCTATCTGAACCCCGACGGTTGTGCCGGATACACTCTGGGACTTATTGCCTTGTGCGCGACGGCCAGCGTTGTCTGATGTTGTCGCCCTTGCATCTCAAACACGCCTGCACACTACAGATGATGGTACGAGGTTGTTGGTGAGAAATTCTGTCCCATTGCCCATCGGTAGTTCGCGCGGGCGTACCACTCGCCTTCCACCTTCGACGACTCCGCTAATATACGTGCCTATGTTGTTGCGAACTTGGGTCTTTCAAGCTTGCCACGCCACCGCGTCTTTCCACCTGGGCACTGCTCGGACTTTACGTGTGTTGGGTTTTTTTACTGGTGGATTGGTATGGATTTGTCCGTTCGTTGGTGGGTTCGGCATTTTTTAATCTGCCAAGCGCGCAAGAATTCCCGGCAAATTTGTTTACGGATCGTTTGAGTCGCCGGGCGGATGTGTATGCCACTACCAAGGCGGGATTTACCGCAAAGGGTACGGCTATTATTTTCGTCAATCGTTACGTGGCGTTGTGGGGTTGTCCGGTGACTCTTCTCTCTGATAACGGTATGCAATTTTGTTCCAAGTTATCCATGGCGATTGACGAGCTGATGAAGATTAAGAAAGTCACTACCAGCTCGTACAACCCCCAAACAAACGGTGGGGCCGAGCGTGTTAACCACACCACGGCTCAAATGCTAGCTGTCGTGGTCAACGAGCGGCAGGATGGTTGGGGACGTTCCTCTCCCTCATGTCGAGTTCGCCTACAACAACTCGGTGAACCTCGCCACAAGCTTGGCGCCGAACGAAGTGTATATTGGACGGTTTCCTCGTCTCCTGCTTTCTGTCTTGGACTACCCTAGCGTGGGTGGCCACCAAATTTTGGACCGTGACCAGCTCGCCTTTTGCAATCTCTCGGTGGAACGTCGGAGACGAGCTTACGCTCTGGTACGGGAACAACATGCGATTACGGTGTCGAACGTCGGAATTCTGTGCTGTTGGACGGTTTGCGTCAGATTCCGAAATACGAAGCTGGTGGTTGGGCTTGGGTCTACAGCTCCGCCGCTACTATTCGGTGCCCAAAGCGAAGTTTTCGCTCAACTACACCGGACCGTATAAGATCCTTGCTGTTGGTCCGGCCAAAGCAGAAGAGGGAATTAGAAGGTACTTGAGGGGAGACCAAAATGGTTGCTATTGTGAAGACGACATTGACACCCTTCTTCCTTTTCTTCTTTTTTTCGAGAGAGACAACGTGTACTTCGATTACTGTCTTTTCATGTACATCTCATACATACGTTTCGAACTTGCAGAGGGCGGGAGACCATGGACAAGCTGAAGACCTCAATATTGAAGGCCCAAACTCAATCAATGAGAAGAGGAGTAGCAACTACATATTTCGCTGAGCACATGGACGACTTGCTGATGATACTGCTTCTACCTTTTAGGGCCCTGCGAACACTGCGAAATCGTGAATCAATCGCGTTTGTATGCAAAATAAGCCCCTCCCGATGCACTGCCGCCGCTCCCACACACTCACAAACGATATCCCATACATGACCAAGTTCTGACCCCTTGACTTAACACCACGAACCCTTTCATCATCGCCTCTCCGCAACAAGAGACCTCCCGTAGCGAGCAACCCTCGCGGTACTCTGTTCCGTCCTGCCTGCCGCGAAAACTAACATATTCCAGCATTAGATCATATGTTTGGCCATGAAAACCTCTACAACTTCGCATGGCGGGAATAGACTCAAGAATGCCACAATCTACATGAAGTAACATCTACCATACACGTCAGGAACACCTGGTGTATTCATCATCGTATGCGTAAAAGTTGTCATTGTGGAACGAAACGCGTTACAGCAGAATCGACAGCGATGGTCGCCATCACGTTGCCTTCTAGACTGCATGTAGCAGGTATACCAATAGAACATGTCTGTAGGAAGGAAACGGATAAATAACCATGAACTCAAAACCAGGCAAGTGTGGAAATCACGCTGTATCATCGGCGTTGAACACAAAAAAAACAAAAATCTTGGACCGAGAGCAATATGCCGGTCGCACTAGCGACCAAGTAGGAGTTACACCACCCGCAGCACCAGAATTTAACAATGCACGGTTGACGTGGTCTCGTCCCATCGACTCTTGTGCATCGTCTCGACCGACCCGCCGCGTTATCTCCAAGCAGACGTCGTCAACACTGCCTCCACCGCGGCCATTGCTGTCTGTCCCTACCTTACGCCTTCTGCACCTCTGACTCAGACTTAATTCATTTCTTCTCCTTCTTGAAGAACTCTTCCTGGATTTCTAACATAAGGATAAAATATTTCATCATGTGCTCGAAGGCGGCCATGCCTCCGCGGACGTTCAGGTCGTGGTCTAAGCATCTTGGGAGGTGGAGCGACGCCTGTGTGCAGCGGGTTGTCGCCGTGAGAGAACGGGACACATGACTGGGGATGAGTGGACGTTAGACGAGCCCTGTTAAGGCTTAGCACGGTACAACATCATGAAGAACGTACTTGAGTGCACCTCCAACACTTGGTATGTGTTCTTGTGGCAACCGCCCTGACGCTTCAAGAATCAAGCACAGCGAAAAAACGGCCATGCAGGTTAACCCGGGCGGAATTCTTTCTAGTCCGGGTCGGGGTAGCCCCAGGAATCACATATCTCAGAATCCTCGGCGTGAAGCTGCGCCCTATTTGACCGGTTAAATCGATATGCAGTATGGAGGTTGTGGCTTTGCAAGCTCAACGTGTTGTACATGTCAAACCAGCAACAACGGCAAGACAACAACAACAACAACAACAACAACAACAACAACAACGGTAGCGACGACAGCATCGACCAATTATACATCGGACACAAGGGTACGTTTGCGGTGGTGGGAATGGATCGTGGGTGCAGGGTGAAACATTCGTTTCAGGCGTTCGTCACGAGCTGGCCGTTGCTTGTTGTGAATCACAGAGATATAGGGCCGTTCTAGCCGATCTCGTGGGTAACATCCTTTTGTATATAACAGGCGGCGCGCGGGTGCAACCTTAGCATCCTACTCCAGCATGTTCGTTTAAAACAATATGAGACATCTACCTCCCTGACGTTCTCAACCATTCACGTCACGCGCTGGCAGGGCGGAAAGGCCAACCTCGTCGCCCTTCTGCGAAGAAGTCCCCATCATGGTCGTCGCCGCCGTAGCTGCTTCCGAAGAAGGATACGTTGTTGGAGCTCGAGACCCGCGGAGATGGGGGCGGCAGGAGAAGGCACGGGAGATGCCGGGGTGAGCGGAGGCTGTGCCCAAACCGTCCAAGCGCGC